ATGTTAGAAAATATACACTAACAAGAAAGGGAAAAGGAAATGAGAAAACCTAAGAAAATACAGAAATGGGGTGGCTTCTGTAGTAAAGCAGGTTAAGACAAGCTTGGGATGCCCATAGCTCATACCACTATGCCTGACTTTAAGTCCTGCCTCCACTTCCACACCCTAGGAGACAGCAGGTGATGGCTCAAATACTTAGGTCCCTGCCAGTCACAAAGGAGACCCAGATGGAATCTGGGATTCATGGCTTCAGCATGGTCCATCTAGTGAGCAAACCAACAGATGGAAACTATCACCTCCCACCCCCACTCTATCAAACAAAGAAGTAGAACTGACTTATAAGGGTGAACAAAATAAACCCCAAAAGGAACATTATGCAGAAGACTCAGAGAACATCTGGTCCAAAACTGATTATTTAATAAATAGTATAACAAAATAATTGAATAATATGTATTAACATTGTAATTGCTATTAAATTGTCAGATTTGACGGAGACGAAACATGAAAGAAAAAGAACCTACCTTAAAGCACATAAATTTTGATAATGTAGAATTAACAGTGTATCTGAGAAAAGCTAGTTTGTAAGGGCAGAGAAGAAAAAGTACTCCATTGAATAGTCAGAAGTTTAATAATGTTTAATAGTTACTAGAATAGAGGATATATGGGAACATAATTAAGAAAAGTTTAAGATTCCTTCAAGTTAGCAAACTGAATCAATAATAAATATAAACAAAGAAATAGAGATTTAATGATATTACTTAGAGAATATAAATAACTACTTAAAAGCAATAAAAAATGAGAAATATCAGAAGACAGATGAGTACTACAAAGCAGAACTTTATTTTTCCTTTTGTAGACAATTTCAATACTTCTGAGTTTCTACTTCAAACTATATGATTAACTTTATAATTTTTTTAAAAATCCATCTAAAACCCTATGTTTGTAATTTTATAAGGTAAATATATGAAAAAAGATACAATTTTTAAAAAGTTGTTTGACATAAAATTAAAGATATTTTTTAAAGTATACAATAAAAATAAACAAAGTTTTAGCGTCTATCAGATATTGTTGACTTAAACAAATCCAAATGTCCATTTTTATCACATCACCATAGTATAGGAACTTTATATAAAGGGCCTGCTTGAGTCCATCAAAATTCTATTTATAATCTGTAGCATTATAGAAAATAACAAGTGATGTACTTGTAATATTTAAGTACCCCTGAAATGAAAATTTAGATGTTTTTAGGAGATGATTCGATTACTGTCATATGATGGAAAGGTATTGTTTATTATAATCACATCACACAAGCTGATCTTTTGAGAAAGCACATTTACAAAATTTAGGACAGTAGGAGCTGGCATTGTGATGTAGTGAATAAAGCCACTGTTCGTACTGCTGGTATCTGAGTCCAGGTTTGAGTTCAGCTGCTCTGCTTCCAATCCAGCTCTCTGCTTAATGCACGTGGGAAAGCAAAGGAGGCCACCTCAAATATCTGGACCCTTATGATCCAATGGGAGAGTCAGAGTTCTCAGCTCCCACCTTCAGCCTGGCTCATCCCTGGTTTGTTGTGGCCATTTGGTGAGTAGAAGGCAGATCTCTTTGTCTCTACTCCCTTCTTTTGGCCATCTCCTTTTCAAATAAATAACCACAATATTATTTGAAAAATTGGAGGCTATGTTGTGACATAGTGAGCTAAGCTGCAGCTTGGGACGTATGCATCCCATACAGGAGTGCGTAAGTTTGAGTACTACCCCACTTCCAATCCTGCTTCATGAGGGTGACAGCCTAAGTACCTGGGTCCCTGGTTCCTGGTATTGGTCCTTCCCAGCCTCAGTTACTGTGAGCATCTTGGTAGCGAACCAGTTGATGAAAAGGTTCTATCTCTGTCTCACTCTCCCTCCCCAACTCTCTGTCACTTTCATATCACTGAAAATAATAAATAAACCTTAAAAATCATGTACAAAACTAGGAAGCTTTTAACACCTGTAATTACTGAGCATCTCTTAATTTCTCATTCAGTGGTCCTTCCAACTTTAACAAGCATTAATAAGAACATAAGTCAGGCTAAGGGGTAAAAAACAAAAAGTAAGATCAGGCAAGAGTTCTGTTCACTAATATTTATTAAAGGAGCAGGACAAAGTTTGCCATCTGAGATAGACTAGAGGACAGCTGGATGATGACCGGAAAAGCTGGCAATGGTAAACACGAGGCAAGAACTGCAGTTCAAAGTTTTTTAGAGTGCTGTCTATGGTTAGCTGATTTTTAAGAAATGATTTTAAAGTCTCCCATCAAAGAGATCAAGATCTAACAGCTTTACTCCTGAATTCTAGAAGACATTTCAAAGAGGAATGAACTTCAATGATTATCATACTATTCTAAAACACTGGAAAGGATGTGACTCTGCCAAACTCCTAATGAGGCCAGCATCTTGCTGACATCAAAACCAGACACAGCACACACAGGCACAGACAACACAAACCACAGATATTCTCGATGAATCTAGATGCAAAAATTCTCAAAAAAAAAAAAAATCTGCAAACCAAAGCCAACACTACATCAAAAAGATCACATATCATGATCAAGTGGGGATTTATCTCAGAAGTGCAAAGGTGGCCCAACATTCAAAAATCAGCAAATGTCAAAAATCATGTCAACAGAACGAAGAACAAAAGCCATGTGATCCTTTCAATAGATGCAGAGAAGGTATTTTGTATTTCAAGACAAAAACCCTCAACAAATTATGGTATAGAAGGAAAATACCTCAAAGTGATAAAGGCCATATATGACTAAACAACAGCCACATTGTAGTCAAAAGGAAAAGCTGAAAGAATTTCTCCTCATATCTGGAACAAGACAATGATGTCCAATTTTACCGTTCTTATTCACTATATCGTTGCCATCTCAGGCAGCTAGTTCAGGGTCTCAAGCTTGAGAGTCACACCACACCCACCTAGTGGTCCTTTCTGCCCACCTGGAACTGGAGAGAGGGTAGTACTGTGTTGTTGTGTAAGCTCTCCCTCAAGCTCCCATAAAGGCCCATGATAGGGAGAGGCTCATTCTCTTGGTACGTGCTTCCATAGCTCTTGAGCTCCAACTTTTCGCCTTCCCTAGTACCTGCTTGATCTTTGGCTTCCCAAGGACAGGTAGTCCCTGAATATGGTCCCTGTGTGTCTGACAGATTCCTCACCCTCAGTTCACTGTTTGGGTGAGTCAGTGAAGGTCCTAATGCTAGATGCTTTGTAAAATGTTGTGTACTTTCAAGAGTTCAAGGAGAGGTGAAGCCTATCAGTAATGAAATGTGGGCAGAGAAGTCAGGAAAAGGTGAGTGTTGGCAGCTTTGTAAGTGTGTCCAGGTTGTTTGCTGCATGTCTCTTAGGATAGTTTATATTGTTGGGGAAGCTGGAACATGGGTTTTCAGCTTAATGGCCAGACTTCATAGCAATGACCATTTATTTCTCTCAGGTTTACATTTCAGACTGGATTGTCATATCAACTTGTCATTTGCTAATTTCTAGTGGGCCCTGCCATCACCCAGCTTGGTGAATAAAGATTCCTTAACACATCCTAGACTTGTCTGGCATGATCTCTCTCATATTCCACAACAATAGTACTAGAAATATTGATGAGAACTGGATTCAAATATGTAGTAGAATTAAGTTGAATTCCTACTTCTGAGCATGTAAAAAATCAATTCAAGATGGATCGATGATCTATAAGATCAGAAATTATGAAACTGCTTGAAGATGTTGAAGAAACAGTTCAAGAAACTGGTCTAGGTGATGGCGTCTTTGATAACACCCCAAAAGCACCAGCTTAAATACAATTAGGCAACTGTGATCATACCAAACTCAGAAATTTCTGCACAGCAAAGGAAACAATCTATAGAATGAAAAGACATTCAATAGAGTGGAAGAAAATATTTGCAAGCTACGTATCCAACAAAGGTCTGATACGCAGAAAATATCAGCAAGTAGAAAAACTCAAGATCAACAACAATCATCCCAGCTAAGAAATTAGCAAGGGGCCTGAACAAGAAGTTGTCTAAAGAAGAATACAAATGACCAACAAAAGTATGGAAACTTCTCAGCCATCAGGTAAATGTAAATAAAAAAACACAATGGGATACCATCTTGCCCCTGAACAATGGCTATTACTCAAAGACAGAGAATAGCACATGCCAGCAAGGATGTAGGGACAGGAACTCTTATACACTGCTGAAGTAAACATAAATTATGGAAATCAATCAGGCAACTTCTTAAGAAACTAGAAATGGAAGTGTCATACGATCCAGGAATAATACCCTTGCTTGGTAGATGCCCAAAAGACACCAGCTCCTATTAAAGAGATAACCACGTCACCAAGCAATAATTTAAAAAAATGAGTCAACCATGGCATCCATCATTACATGAACAGATACAAAAAATGTGAAAATTTTTAAAGTTATCTCAAGAATTAAAAAGAATTTTTACAGTATATATATATATATATATATATATATGTATATCCTTCCACTCCAATTAATAATATTCTATCATTTGCAGCATACTAGATGAAAATGAAGGACATTATTTGAGTAAAATAATCCGGACACAGAAAAACAAACACTAACAAATAAATCACAATTCAATTTGAACACAGAGTGCTGATTACTACAGACTAGAAGTGACAGAAGGAATAAAGGATTTAGATTAAAAATAGCAAAGTTGTGCTTCACTCAATAATTTTGACAAGAATGCTAACATAAGATGTTAGTAAGAGGAATGGGTAAAGATACAGGGGAAAAAAAGTTTCAATTGGTCACCTACGTTTATTGTTTTGTTCCTTAGCAATTTAATAACTTAGACAAAAGCATACTGGATTTTTTCATTCCATGGAAGAGGTTAAAAAAAATTAACTCCATAATACAAAAATGGTTTCTCATGTGAACTACTTTTAAGATCTAAAAATCTTAATGACATATTAAGTTACTTCTGTTTTCTGCAAAGTCACAAACCTACCATCAAATTTTGAGGCATCAGGATCATTCGCATTAATAGCAATTAATTTCCAATCCGTTTCACCCTCATCAATCAGAGCCAAAATTCCAAGAATCTTCACAGGAATAACCTCTCCACGAGTAAGAACCTTTAAGGAAAAAAGAGATTCACCATTTGCAAGGCTTTGCAAAATTTATTCAAACATCATAAAATTCATTTGAAAGATTAAAAGTACAACAGATTAAATTTTATAAAGCTTAGTAATTAAAAATGTAAACATAGTCATAAACCTGTCTTGTAATGTCTTTTATATGTAAGTAGCCTAAAACTTTCACTTCCAACAACCACGAATTTACCCAAAAATTTGCTTTCCTGTTGTGAATAACTAGAAAAAGAGGACAAATTTTATGAAATCATTTTTTCAGACATCAGACCAACACAGCAAGCAAATAAAGAGATCCTGTGGTTGCTCTGGTTTTCTACTCAATACTTGAGACAGAGGAACCCAGTAACAACACAGCGGTCACACCGTAACAGAAGCAGACTCAAAGCGGGGGAGGAATTAGGTAGCAGGCATCTATGGGACAGTCCATTGGAGATGACACATAATACCAGAAAGTCACAAAAGGGGTTCCTTTGAAACACTGAATAAAGACAAAACTGCACAACTGCAGGAAGATCGCAAGAGGCCAGGCAGAGAGTAACTGCTAGAGAGAATCAACTGAGTTTTTGCTGGTGGTCACACGTTACATCAGGAGCAGTTATTCAGCAAACAGCCAAAAAGTGGCATTCCTCACTGGTAGAATTAAACTAGTCTTTGAGTTAAGGGGATTTTAGTTCTGTCCTAACAAAGTTCTTTAAAAATGCCTGTAAACAATCAGGATCATCTACAATTTACAGTCACATCATCACAGCAAACATTCTTTAAAGTAAAACAACACAACTTTCGCATTCAATTTAACTTTCACAACATCCACAATTCTATTTACCAGTTGAAAAATGTAAAGTCTACGGGAGGGGGAACAAAATCAGAAAAAAAAATCAAGAAATAACAGATGGTAAAATCAACAGAAAAGAACTTTAAAGTAACCATTGTAAATATACACAGACTTGAAAAAATTTACAAAAATGGGGAGAATAAGAAATAATATAGACTCAAATAGAACTTTCAGAGTTGAAAAAAATACATTTGTTATGGAAACCAGATATACAGAGAGGAGGAGAGACAGAGAGGAAGATCTTCTGTCCGATGGCTTACATCCCAAGCAGCAGCAATGGCTAGAGCTGAGCCAATCCGAACCCAGAACCAGGAGCCTCTTCCAGGTCTCCCACATGGGTGCAGGGTCCCAAAGCTTTGGGACATCCTTGACTGCTTTCCCAGGCCACAAGCAGGGAGCTGGATGGGAAGTGGGGCCACTTGGATTAAAACGAGTTCCCTTACGGGATCCCAGCACATGCAAGGTGAGGACTTTAGGCACTATGTTACCACACTAGGCTCGCTAGATGGTCTTAATGATAAAACAGGTATCACAGAAGCCAGTCAGTTTAAGTCCTAGCTAATTCACTTCCAATTCAGCTTCCTGATAACGTGCCTGGAAAAACAGAGGAGGGTGGTTCAAGTCCTTGGGCCTTGGCTACCCGTGTGGGAGCCGTAGATGGAGTTCCAGGTTTTACCTTTAGTTTAGTCCAGATCTGGCTGTTACAGTCATCTGACTCTCCCTCTCTCAATGTAGTGCACCAAATAAATAGATAATGTTTTTAGTTGTTTTTTTTGAACAGGCATCACCAAGAATATTAGTAATCTTGAAGTTAAATTAACACAGCAGATATCAAGAATTGGAAAACATATTTGGCAATTTATGAGATACTATAAGGGCTCTAATGTCTAACAAAGTCAGAGCTGTAATAAAAAATCATGAAAACTCAACTAAAAATCTAAAGAAATCATAAATAGGCAATTAACAGGAAAAATAAACACTCTTTAGAAGTATAAAAGTGTACTCCAGCTCACTCATAACTACCTTGAGGTTTAAACCACTTCCCTGGTAGTGTTCCCATAATTCCTTCCCACACAACAGGCAACTGCTTCTGATATTTACCATCTTCTCCATGTTTGGCTTTCCCTCTTCTGGAAGGAATCTCCCTGGCTGCCACCTCTTGTTCTAGAAAGGGGACAACATTTCCTGCTCTATCCAGAGAAATCAAAAGTTGAAATAATACTTTTATTTCATTTTACTAACTAAAACAGGACCAGTGATTGTGGGAATGACACAGTACAGACAAATGTGACCAGAAGCTCATTATTCAAGAAAACTTTAGAGGCAAAAGGAAATGCAAAGATGAGCAATGGATGGACCAAGAGAATTGAGCCGACAGTAATGAGGCTAATGTGTCTCCCAACAGCAATCCACCTCCTATCGCTGTTGCCTATTTAGAAAGACCCTGGAATTTCCATTATAACCCATTCCCTTATACCTATCTACACAGCTGTATGTAACAGGTATTATTTCAAACTGAGAAGTTCAAACGTAAGTCATTTTAATATCTAGGGGTTACTTAATGAAAAAAATAAAAAATCAAGTTCATAAAAGTAAAAACATGACACACATTTTAAAAAACTGGCACACAAAATATATAACATAAAATTGTTGCAATTTGGTGCTGAAACTGAAGTTATTTACTGTATCTTTAATCTAACTTATCTACTAGGCCCAGAAAATCACAGCACAAAGACACCACTGTATAATATAAACTTGGTTCCTATTGTCTGGAGAGAGAAGATACCCGAGAATCATCCTCTCTCCCTTCTTTTTCCTTCTTTTTTTAAGATTTATTTCATTTTTATTTGAAAGGCAGAGTTATAGAGAGGAGACAGAGAGAGAGGGAGAGAGAGATCTTCCATCTGCTTGTTTACTCCCTAAATGGCCACAACGGCTTTAGCTTGAGCTGATCCAGAGCTGGAAGCCAGAAGCTTCCTGTGGTCTACTCATGGGTGTAGGGCCCAAAAACTTGAGCCATACTCTGTTTTCCCAGGACATGAGCAAGGAGCTGGATTCCAACCACAGCATGAACTGGCACCTGTATAGGATGCCGGGGCCAAAAGTGGAAGCTTAGCCTTCTAGGTCATGGTGCCAATCCCACTGAGAGTCCCTTTAAAGCTCTTCACAATACCTTTTCACAACCTATATTTATCAGGTACTACTAAAAAATAAAGTATAGGGTGCCGGCATGGTGGTGCATGAGCAGAGTAATTCTCTGTTCTACTTCTAACGCAGCTCTCTGTTTATGGCCTGGGCAAGCAGAGGAGCATGGCCATAAGCAGAGAACCTGGACCCATGTGGGAAACCTGCAGGAAGCTCCTGTCTCCCAGCTTCACATCAGCTCCGTTCTGGACATTGCAACGGATAGAAACCTTCTGTCTCTACAAAATCTGCTTTCAAACAAAAGCAAATAAATCATTTTTTCCCTTTTTAAGTCTGATGGAACAAAGCCTTAGTAAGCTAATCAGTGACAACAGAAGAATTATTAATATTGAAGAAATAGACAAAACACATTTTGTAAAAGGCTTAAAAAAGATTTTAAGAGAACCTGGAAATAGCAAGACACAAACGCAGATGTTCTATACTCTTAAAGTTGTTTCAGCAGTTTCCTCTTATTGCCAATGCCAGGCTTATATGTATAGTTTTTCTGTACTCTTTTATTTTTGAGAGTTTATCTGGTTATGGAATTCCACTTGAAGCTGAACTATGAACATATGTTCTAGAAAAAAGTTCTTGATATACCTTTATATTTGAAAAGAGAGGTATGGAACAAGAAAAGCATTATTCTGTCCCCTAAGTTGTTTATTTTGAGGAAAAAAAAATCATTTCAGGGCCTGGTTCCATGGCTAAAGCCTTGTCTTGAAGGTGCTGGGATCCTAAGTGGGCGTCAGTTTGTGTCTGGCTGTTTCTCTTCCCATCCAGCTCCCTGCTTGTGGTCTGTGAAAGCAGTAAAGGATGGTCCAAAGCCTTGGGATCCTGCACCGTCTCCTGGCTTCGGACTGCCTCAGGTCCAGCTACTGTAGCCACCTGGGAGTGAACCATTGGACAGAAGATCTTTCTCTGTCTCACCTTCTCCCTATAAATCTGCTTAGCCAATAAAAATAAATAAATCTTTTTTTAACATTAAAAAAATTATGATTTCAAGCCATAAGGTCTGGCAGTGTTGTGGCCTAACAAGTTAAGCCTCTGCCTATGACTCTAAAATCCCACATGAAAGTCGGTTTGAGTCTTGGCTCAGACCAACATTCTGATCCAGTTCCTCGTAGCAGGCTTTGGTGACAGGGTACATAGCAGAACTCACAGGAATCACAGATTGCTTCTAAAAGCAAATCAAATTGATTTATTCAATTTTACTGATAAAATCTCCTTTACTTTGCAACTGCAAAAACAATATAAGATCAGATGAGACTTTTACAGATAAGCCAGAATCCTGTCCAGGTGGTTCCCAAGTTCCAGCAGGATGATATAAACACTTTGACCTCACAAGCAACAGAAAGGAATAGTTCTGTTTAAAAAAAAAAAAAACTGTACTTATGTGCAAAGCAGAGTGTGACATACAGAGAGAAAAACCATCTAGCTCCTGGTTCACTCCCCAAATGGCTGCAACAGACAGGCAGGACCAAGTTGAAGAAAGAATCCTGGAGCTCCATCTGGCTCTTTCAAGGGGGAGAGGGTTCTCAAACCACCTTTTCTGGCACTCTAAGAACATGAGCAAAAAACTGCATATGAAATATAGTAGCCCAGGACTCGAGCCAGTTCTCCAACATGGGATATTAGGGTCAACATATTAAGTAGCAGCTTAAACTGCTACTTACATTAAGCAATAAACATTAAACATTTCTATATGTGTGGTTCTCAATCTATTATTAACTTCCAGGACTCTGCTTCTTTTCTTTGCCTACAAAACACAGTATTACTAAAGAAACTGTCTAGCACAATGTTCCTTAAGCACCCTTCTCATCACCAGGTACTGGGGTGTAAACAAAGAGAAGATCTCTCTCTCTAAAATAAATGGTGGAGGGAACTCCCATTTCTTTTACTTGTAATTTAGTACAAACCACTCAGGTCTCATCAACCAAGAAAGTAAACTGGGGCCCATGTAGCGGCA